TATATATATATATATATATATATATATATATATTATATATATATATATATATATATATATTATATATATAATGCTTATTTATATATATAATATATATCTATATATACATGCAATGTTTATATTTATTTAAATTGTATTTTATATGAACTGTAAACTCATATAAAAAAAATTTCCTTTATTGCTTATAAAGGATTCAATAACATTTTCCATTAACATTATAAGGGCAAAATGTTATTGAATAACCTTTATAAAATAAAAGCCATTCATGTGAATGATTTATGGAAACCCACACAATAAAAAGGTTATATTTTGATTTAGATGATTGTTTAACTTCCTTGTGGAATAAATTCTTGGCAACATGATTCATGTTGTTAAGAATTTATGCCACAAGGAAGTAAAATAATAATCGAAATCAAAATATAAACATTTTATTGTGTGGGTTTTCTTGTTTCATAAAGTTTATTAAACGTGAATGTTGTCTGATATAACTTTATGAAAAAGACTATATAAAATTCTATATAAAATAAAAACTAATTAAAAAAAAAACTTTTTTAAATTATTATTATTATTATTTAATCGCCATTTACAATTCAATACTTAAGGCATTTACAAATCAATACTTAACGCATTTTATTGAAGTTTAATTTATACCAAATGGGCCCCAAACGGGAAACACATCAAAATCCCAGATTATCTTGCCCATTTCATTACCAGATGAAATATTTTGCGTGATTTTTAAACCATACGGGACCCATCTAGACACCAGAGCTAGCGCCCATCTAAATCCCGTCCCAAAAGCCCAGATAAAAATCGTACGGGGCCCGTTTGCTATTGCTGGCTGGGTTGTATCTATAGGTGGTTGTAAAACAGTTAAACGTTTTAACTGTTGTAATATTTACAATGCTGTAGCCGTTATGGTTACAATATCGATCCACCTAACTGGTTAAGTCAATTTGGTGTTTGCCTTACGAAGATTGTTTGACATTTTTCAAATTGGCAAGTCTTACCAAATAAAAGGACAAGTTGAAAACTCTGACTAAAAAAGAGTGTCAACACTTAGAAAATTTTAGATATTCTATTCTGAAACAGAACACAAAATACAGAATGTTCAAAATCAAGTTAGAGGTTACTTATTACGACAAGCAAAAGTTACATGTTACTAATGTTAGAAAAACAATAAAATCAGCAAATTTAGGAAACTAAATGCAATTGGAAATCGTAGAACATAAAAAACAAATTTAACTTCTTTAAAGCAGGGTTTGACTGTCGAAAGAATGACACTTGATACAATTGGCTGTCACAGTATAACTAAGGCATGGTCACTGGCTAAATTACAACAATAAAGAGAAGAAGAGCCATGTACTCAAAAAAGATTGTGATATCAAGCAAAAATTGTGTTGATATATCAAAATTATAAATATAATATATATTTTAATAGAAACAATCTTCTCAGACTTATGTGAGATTTTACATTATGTAAAATTGTGTTAGAAAAAACTTCGTAACTCGGAAGAATATAAAACAAAGAGTATAACCAGTGCCAACACTGTGCCTCTATTCATTGTGACCCAATTATATCAGGAAGGGGGACCTGAAAAACCTTCAATGCCCCCCCCTGATATTAAAAGTGTGGTTACGGCTCTGCGGTGATAGGTTAGGGCAATAGGTTATAATTGTTATTATTATGTGGTAACCCAGAAAACATAAATAATTCGAAATATAATAAACTATATATTCAATTTAAAGTTATTTAACCTAATCTCTAAAAATTCATTTCAACATATTTGTTATTCTTAAAAAAGTTGTTTGTTTTTCAATGTTTTTAAAACAGCATGTGTATATACAGTTTTTGTAAAAAACTCTTTGAGTGTTCTTAAATTATCATGTGACCATATACTATATTTGACTTTTTTTTTTGCCATGAGGATTTTTATTAAAATTAGTACCATATACAAATGAAACCTTTTTATTTAAATTAGGAACTTTTTGAGTTGATTTTATATTTTTCAGAAAAACGTTACCTATAACTTAAAATAATATTAGTATTAGTTGTCGTGTCATCACCCTTCTGGTGAGTAATTATTATTAATTTTTTTTAAATAAAAAATTTTAATTTTAAAGTTTAAAAGCATATATCATAGTAACTATGAAGTTAAAAGTTATTTTCATTATTTTTATATCAAGAGCGACCGATATTTAATCATTTTACACTTCAATATTTCTTAGACATTTTATACGAGAAAAGTTAAAAGAATATTTTGAAGAAAGGGTTAAAATAGACAAGGTTAAACTATCCAGTGGTTGACAACCCTTCCAGTCAACGACGTTTTGTCACAAAATAATAGGCTAAGCAAACACCAACTGAAGTAAAGTGCCGAAACAGCGTCTGAGATGATTGCCTTTCTTTTCTTTTTAGATGAAAGAAGTTAAGCTACTTTAAACATAAAAATGAACACATACGATGGTTTGCACTAAAAAAGGTTTTGGGGCCATCTATAAAGGATCTCATGCCAATAGAGGGCGAAAGGGTTTTTAGATAAAAACCACTAAAAAGGAGAAGGGAGAGGAAAGGAGGTTGAAAGAAAAGCACGTCTCTTTAAAGATTTTTTAACATCTATATTTTTAATATTTTTGTTAACATTGAATCATATATGTGTTACTTTATAGAAACATATGTAAACATGTATTTTATTGGTTTATTGTTAAAGAATATTTTTATTTATTTTTCAAAGTATGGCAGCGGCAGGCTTGTTGACACTGGGGTGGAAGACGGGGCATTTGTCACCCCAATAATTTTTCAGATTAAGTTTTTTAAAAACAAAAAAAAAAAACAAAGAAAAGAAAGAAAGGAAAACAAATTATTAAACATTGCATTGCAACGTACACAATATATTTAATTGTCAGCATTTCAGATTTGTTTTGTTTTTAACCATGGTTTAATTAGAATTATCTGGAAACTGAAACCAGAACTTCAAAAAAACCAACAACCTGATTTCATTTACTACCTTCTTTCAAACAGCTTCATAAACCTCTTCTCGGCAATTTACAAAGCTTTTAGCAAATGGCTAAGATCGTGTGTTATGTCTTTTGTTTCGTTTTTTATTTTAACTGCCTTTAATCAGAAATAATTTTTTTTAAGCCTGGACGTATTTTTAACAATTAAAATAAAACTTAAGAGTATATTTATATTATTTAAACAGTTTAATTATAAAAGAGCCCTATTTTTTATATTACTTTTGTTTTGTTTATTTTATATGTTTTATTATTATTACACGGTGGTTAAATATTAAACAATCGCGTTATTTTATAGTAGGCAAGCGCCTACTATAAATTTTTTTGTTAAAAAAAATATATCGTTATTTTGCTTTTTTTTAGTAGTTTTTTTAAACACATCCTAAGAAAGTATTTTTTTTTTATCCATAGTTTAACTAAAATCATCTTAAAACTGAAACCAGAATTTAAAAAAAAAACCTGATCTCATGTACTACCTGTGATCAATAAAAACAAAACTTTACTCATTTGCCGAAATAATTGCTCCCGCTCAACGGGCTCAAAGATCAAATTTTTATTACAAAAATTCGCATTGTAACAGTTTAAACACCCTTAAAATATAAAATAAAAATATAATGCTTTTCATCTGGTTTTTTAGAAGTTTACAATCATTTTAAGCCTAACCTCATCGTAATTCAATAAGATTAAGGCTGCCTACAAGAATTAAAAGGATTAAGTTTTTGACCTGGTTTCTTAAAAAACACCCGATTTATACAACATTTTAAAACTGACGTTTTTTTTATTATATTAGGATTGCAAATCTTTTTATTTGTAAATACTTTTTTGGCATAACAAAATTATTAACACATAATAACATTATATTAAATAAGATTGCAGTTGCTGGGAGGGTTAGGTAGGGGTGGAGGATACGCCGCCCCTCCCCACACTTTTTACAATTTTTTTACTTTTTGAACAAAAAAGAACTGAATTAAGTGTTTGTTTGTGTTTTATTTAAGTTAAAATATCACATTATATTATTTAAAACAAAGCTGGAATATATCAAATCTAAATAGAAGTTTTTTTAATAAATTACTTTACTAAATTCTCTAGAAATATAGAGAACACTCTGTCAACTGTCTTATAGAGATTGAGTTCTGCAATATTTAATTTGAATAAAAATCAAAGCTAAAAAATAAAATTTGCAATTTACGCTCTGTGATATAGTTACAATAGAATGGCGCTAACATTGAATAAGTCAGTCAGATTTCAAATTCCCCTTGAACTTTCTATATAAACCGCTAGCTTCGCTTAAATAGGACATTTCTAAGTCAGAGAACTTATCTATTCCATTTGAGAGTCCAATTTAACGGGATTTTACTATATATGCAAATTTCCCCTATATCGGTTTTAAATGTATAACTTAGTGTGTGTTATTTTTTAATTGAATTGTTCTTCACTAATAAAAATCTGGAAAAAAAGTTTCCGATAAAAAACTGGCCAAATTGTTCTTTATTAATATTAGGACTTGAAATCACTAGCTCTAAGCGCTCAACATTTACATTTGCACCATAAAAATACTCTTTTATTATTTGTGTATCAAATTGAACATATAGTTAATAATATATAGTTAGTTAGTTAGTTAGTAGTAAACGCTGTAACTGGCTGAGCCAGTGAGTGTGTTATCAGGCTCACTTTGACAATCAATTGCTTCTTTAAAACTGTTGACTGAAGGCGATTTAACAACTTCTTCCGGAAGAGAGTTCCATAAATTCGCTACTCGATTAAAGAAAAAGTTTTCTCTGTACTTATGGTTTGTCATTTCCTTGAAATATTTAAAACAGTGACCTCTCGTATGATTGTTAACGATTGGAAAACGGAGGTCTTTTTCTAATTTGTCAATATTATTCATAATTTTATACATTTGTATCAGATCTCCTCTTTGTCTCCTTTCCACTATTGTAGTTAGGTTTAAATTTTCGAGTCTTTTTATATAGGAGAGATTTCTGATTGATGATACTAGTTTAGTAGCTTTGTGCAGGATTCTTTCGATATAGTCACAATCAGATTTAAGAAATGGAGACCATACTGTAACTGCAAACTCTAGTAATGGAAGAATAAAAGTAATATAAAGCAAACGAAGTAACTTATAATCAAAACAAGCAAATGATTTTTTGATACGACCAAGCATTTGATTTGCGTTGTTAAAAGCATTAATCACTTGTTTGATTTTTATTAATCATTTAATCACTTGTTGATTTTTTTTTATTTTTTTATTTTCATTTATCACTTATTTTCGATTATCACCATTAATCACTTGTTGATTTTTCCATTTTAGATTTGAATTAAAAAGCACTCCAAGATCTCTTTCTGTATCTGATTCCGTCAACTGAATATTGCTTAAATTATATAAATAGTTTTTATTAATATGGCCATAATGCATAACTACACGTTTTGATATGTTAAACAAAAGAAGCCAAGTTTGAGACCATTTGTAGACAATATCTAGATCATTTTGAAGATTAGTAGCGTATAGTTCTGAAAATACTTTTTTTTTTTTTTTTTTTTTTTTTTTTTTGTTCTTATTACAATTTATTTTGGAATAATATCGTTTTACATAAAATGAAAAGAACACGGAAACTCGAAGAGGATGGTAAGATCCTGTCACCGAGAACCGTTTAACAATGCGATACAAAATAAATAAAAACAAAATACTGATATTTAAAATACAAGACTTTTAATAAACCAAAGCCAAACATAAAATACCGTTAAAAAATGTCAAAAATATGTATAAAACTAAATATTTAAATATTACAATACAATGTATTGCAATATCAACAATCCTACAATTCCTTAATGTATTGAATACATTAAGGAATCGCACACTTATTTAAAAAAAGTAACGACTCAAAAAAACTCGAAGATGTTATCAATTGTCAAAAAAACTTTTTTCAGTTTATTTTTGAAAGTAAGAAAACTACAATTTTTAGAAAAATCAAAGTTTTTTAAAACTATTTGGTTCCACAGAAAAGCTCCGCGATATGATAAAAGATATCTTCCAAAATTTGTATGCGAATAATGTTGATGAATAAGATTGTCATTTCTTAATTCATATTTGTTTCTTGGCTTTATTGCATATAAATTTTGAAAAAATATAGGGATTAAGTTTATCTTACATTTGTAAATAAAGCAAAGAACATTAAAAACATTTAGTTGATATATATTAAGAATATTCATGTCTAATAAAAGAGGTCTGGCATTAGTATAACGATCTTTAAATTTTATTAGACGTGCTAGATGTTTCTGTTGCCGATAAAGAGGTTCTAATTAACTTTTATTAGCACTACCCCACGCAATGTTTGCATAGTTTACATGACATTGGATTAGCGAGTAATAAAGTTGAATTAATGCATGCCTATTTACAAAATTTCTCGCTTTATACAACACTCCAATATTTTTTGAGACTTTATTGCATAATGTTTCGATATGATTTTTCTATGTTAAGTTTTCATCAATGAAAACACCAAGGAAATGTATAACTTTTGATTGCTTTATTTGAAAATTGCGAATATATATTTGAGGCATATCATTTGGTAAAAGTTTTTTTTTGGATTTTGGATGAAATAGAGTCCATTGAGTTTTTTCTAAGTTAATTTATAATTTATTTGTCTTAAACCAATTTGAAATTTTAACTAACTCTATGTTTATGTCATTAAAAAGTGTAACGATATCACTACTGGACAGAAAAAGGTTTGTGTCGTCAGCAAACATCACTGTCGTTAAATTTGAGGCATTATGCAGATCATTAACATAGACGAGAAAAAGGAGTAAGGCCCCAGTATAGACCCCTGGGGATCGCCACATGTTATATCTAGCAAATTAGTAGAGGAGGATACATCAATTTGGATAAACTGTTTACTATTGCTTAAATAGCTTTTTAGCAAATTTAGAAAATTTCCGCTGATTCCATAGTTTTTAAGTTTTTGAATAAAAATCTCATGATCTATCGTATAAAAAGCTTTTGATAGATCAATGAAAACTCCAAGAGTAAATTGTGATTTTTCAAACGAATCTGCAATATTTCTAGTTAGATGAAGTAATGCGTGTTCAGTGGAATTATTATTTTTAAATCCATTACGACTGGTATTTAATATTTTATTTTTAGAAAGATGATCATATATTTTATTGTAAAGAATCCTTTCAAAAACTTTTGAAAAACCAGAGAGTACAGAAATTGGACGATAATTAGTTATATTTGATAGTTCCCCTCCTTTAAAAATTGGTGAAACTTTGGCGATCTTTAGTTGGTCAGGAAATATCCCCTGTTTTATTGAACAACTAAACACTTGGAAGAGAATAGTTTTTATGTTCTCATAAGATGCAATTAAAATGTTACTATTTATTTCATCCGGACCTTTTGCTTTATTGGTTTTTAGCATTTTGTAAGCACATTCAAATTCTTTTATTGAAATTTCAAAATTATTTAGTACGGAAATTACGGGAAGGGTAAAATAATTTGTTGAGTTAGTTATAATTGGAATATTTTTAGCTAAGTTTGGACAAACAGTTATAAAATAGTTATTTATTTGATTTGCTATATCTTTTGGGTTATTTAAAAAAACATCATTGTTTTTAATAACTTTTGGCAAGTTGATTGTTTTACTCTTATAGTTGCCAGTAATTTCATTTGAAATTTGCCACGTGCGCTTTGAGTTATGTTTAAACTTCTCTAGTAAGTTTGAGTAGTTTTTTTTTTTAAGTTTTTTCTTTGACATTCGAAATGCTTCACGTAAGTTTTATAAATCGCCTTATTTTTATCAGTTTTGGACTTTAAATACTTTATATACAATTTTTGTTTAACATTGGACGATTTTCTAAGTTCTTTTGTAATCCATGGTGACTTAATACTTTTTTTTGTAAGACTTACTTCGTATTGGGGAAAGTTTGCGTCATAAACTTCAAAAAATCTTTTAAAGAACGAGTTATAAACTAGATTTGCTTCAGATGAAAAATTTATATGTTTCCAGTGTAGTAATGATAGTTGTTCATTAAACGACATTAAATTTGCTTCACTGAAACATCGTTTAACGAAAACTTGATTTTTTATCGGTACTAACTCAATGTTAATATTTATTTAAAAAAATATCGGAAAATGATCAGAAACATCACTTTTGGATCATCGGCGTATAGCTTGGTTAAATTAAGCAGTATTTTTGTAAGGTCCTTAATATAAAAAGTAAATAAAAGTGCTGCAATTACAGAACCTAGTGGTACACCACTAAAAACCTTAACCTAGTCAGAAATATTATCACCTTGAACAATTCTTTGTCTTCTGTTTTCTAAGAAGGCTGCAATCCATTTAAGTAACAGACCATCAAAGCCATATGCATTCAGTCTGACTAACAGTCTTTTGTGTGGAACGGTATCAAAAGCTTTAGCAAAGTCTAACAAAATTACATCAACTGGAATACCAACATCTAAGTTTGAGGAAATATAGTTAATACTTTCTAAAAGATTAGTGGTACATGATTTATTTCTAACGAAACCATGTTGCTCTTTTGCTAGTAATTTGTTTTTATACAGGTACTCTTCCATTTTAGCTCAAATTATACTTTCCATAATTTTGCATGGAACAGAAGTCAAGGAAACTGGGCGATAATTGCTAGGAAGAGTCTGATCACCTTTTTTGAATAGTAGCGTTACGCTCGCTATATATATGTATATACATATACACACGTTTATAAATATATATATATATATATATATATATATATATATATATATATATATATATATATATATATATATATATATATATATATATATATATATATATATATATATAGTCTATCTAAGAAGATGGGAATAACTTTAATGAGACACAAAAGATATATAAGGAAATCTAATCCAGTGCTTGTGCTTCTCGACAACTATTAAACTCATGTTTGAATTGCGTGTTAAGAACTAGGGGGGAAAAACACAAAAAAATAAGCTGTATTTTCAAACACATGGTAGTTACAACCTGCAGCTATTGAATCAATCAGTGTATGTGTCACTGAAAAGTTATTACAATTACCATTTATATAATAAAGCTGCTGTAGGTACAGCTTAACCAATATTCTTTCCTCCATCAAACATTTTTGTAGGATTTGATGTTACTGCAATGGAATCTCAACAGATTTGCTAATAATGAGTATTTGGCTTTATCTTTAACAGACTGTCCAAAATTCATTTCATGAATCATTATCCAAAAAAAAAATCTCGATGACAAGAAAAGAAAATCTTTATGTTGAAAGTGATAAAACACAATTTTTGAACATCACCAGCAGTGACAATGATAAATTCGAATCACTTTACATCAATATTTTAATGAATTATTTTATAGTTTTACTCAAGGATATGCATGATATGTATTATATAATATATTTCTAGAGAAACGTTGTGCCTCAGTAAACAAACAAAACTTTTGTTTTATTGATTTTGGATTTATTGCTGCTTTTTTTTGGTTTTGTTTTGGTAATTTTGCTTTCTTTTAATTTAATAAGAATAATGTTTTTTTTTGTAAAAGTTATGGTAATTTAATTGGTTTATATTATAAACATTGTTTTAATGACTTAAAAGAAGTTCTTACACAATAACGGTATACATTTGAATAAGAATCAAGTATTTAAACTTAGGATCAAGAGTGCATATATGTAGGATAAAGGGAGGATACATGTATGCACCCTTGATCCTAAATGACTATTTTTAGTTTTAATAATTTAAAATCTATTTAAGATATTTTGATAAAAAAATTATTATTAAATTCTAATAAAGTATAACATTTGCTATCATGTAGTGCTACATTAGAGGTCAAAATAATATCAGATATCCAGTAAATTGGCCTGATACATTTTTAGGATCAAGGGTGTATATCCTTCCCTCTAACACGTCTAAGGTATTTGCGTTCTTAGTAAAATAAACAAACCGGTTAATTAAAAATTCGCAAAAACTGGTCAAATTTTTAGGAAACCGGGTTAGACCTCAGGTTCTAAAATTCTTGAGCACAGTCTTAGTCTTATTCAATTATCATAAAGTTAGGCTTAAAATGATCATATGAACATAAAAAATCAATTTAAAAACAGTGCCTTATACATTCCTTAAGTTATTAAATCTTTCTTTGGAAAAGGTAAGCAAAATATCTTTCAAATACAATTTTGACCTGGACCCCTTTAAGTTTTTTATATGGTTAACAATACCCGGGCATTTTTTTTTTATTTGTTCATAATCAAAGTGAAATATAGGATTTTTTTCAATATAAGTTTTGTATTGATGATTGAGCACTCTTGACCTAGAAATTTTATAATTTTCATTTACTAAATGTTTGATTTTATGTTTTTCAGTCAAAGCTATATTTACTGCAACTTTAGCGAAACCGCAAGTTAAAGGATCAGCAATAGACAACTCTGACATAACAAAAGATTGAAGTGATTTAATTATAAATCTGTTGTTTACTTGTATTCTAAATTTGGTTAACTATATTTATATTCTTCCCGCTAATTTACATGTTTACAATAATCTATGGTAATTTAAAGCCCGGAATTTTAGTTTAATAATTTTATGGGATTATAAAATAGAGGTGGATTATATCACAGTATTATTCAAATTTTAAACTTAGACTTTTAAATAAACCTTAAGAGGTTTAACTTTAAAAGTCTAACTGGTCGTATGTCAATTTGTGTGTCCTTCACACTCAAATTAATAAAAACATTTATATAAAATGGAAAAAACAGATTTTAAACTTGAAATAACTAATTTTTTTCGACCTTTATTATGTTTGCAGACATATGACTGGTTAGAAATTAAACATATAACTTGTAACTTGTTTGAAAAACTTGTTTTTTCAAGTTAATGTTTTATGTTCGTTGAGAGCAGCGCCATTTTATACCAAAATATGGTACATCAACCATTAAGCAAAATTTTATATCTAAACTTGTGTAATTTAAAAAAAAATTAACTTTATTTGATTTTACACATGCTAAATCGCTGGTGGGAAAAAAAAAAAAAAAATTATTTGTGCTAAAAAATATGCAGTAAAATATTGCGTTTTTATAAAAACGCGAAATTCGAGTATTTTCCAGAACATGCATTAACGGCGTTGAGTTTGTGGTTGCTCAATAGAAATTTGTTTTTGTGACAACACTTGGATATTAACTCTGTTTTTTTATTAAGTAGCTATTCAGCATTTTTATAAAGCAAAATATATATATATATATATATGAATATATATATATATATATATATATATATATATATATATATATATATTATATATATATATATATATATATATATATATATATATATATATATATATATATATATATATATATATATATATATATATATATATATATATATATATATTTTTTTTTTTTTTATTAAGTAGCTATTCAGCATTTTTATAAAGCAAAATATATATATATATATATATATATATGAATATATATATATATATATATATATATATATATATATATATATATATATATATATATATATATATATATATATATATATATATATATATATATATATATATATATATATATATATAAATATTATATATTTAATATATCTTAACAGTTGACTGTAAACAAATGTTGGATGGTAAAACACTAAGGTAAAAACTAATGAAACAAAAAAAGATTTGTGATATTATTAAGTAACAACTTATTAAAATAACTGTGGAGTGTGCTTTGAATCAAGAAACATTACTTTGCCACATGTCAAGGACACTTAATGGTTAGATACAGTGAACCAAAAGAAATATTTGGAGATGAGAATGAGGTGGAAAATGTTACTCTCGACAGTTTTAAAAATAAGTTTAATGGAGTGAACACGAGGTAACGTGCGATGGGTGCAATGCTCATCCAATATTTGGTCTGCGATTTAAATGTGATGAATGTAATGACTTTGACTTGTGCTATAATTGTTTCGGAAAAAAAAAAAGATATAGGCAATCATAAGGCAGAACATTCCTTACTTATATCTTATAGCATACGAAATGTGAACCCATCTGATATAGAACGTTTAGAGTGTTTATACACAGAAGCATTCGACCTGATAACATATTCATAACAAGTAACTATGTAGCAAAAATTGGTGGTATGGGGATTTCAAGGCTACAGAACAAGTTTCAGAACCACTCTGTGTTAGGACCAAATGAATATATGCCAAAGGAGTTTCATACTGGCAGTTATAACGAAAAAGTTGACATTTATACGTTTGGTTTGACAATATACCACTTAATAACTGTATAAAAACATGTAATATATTTTCTGAATTACTTTATAATTAATTGGAATTGTGCACTAATTAAAATGAAAGAAAAAAAACTGCAATTTTCAATATTCTAAAAGTGTTCTTCTAAATATAAATACATTTTTCAAAGGCATTTATAGAATACGCTAAAAAGTTAACAATTGTTTCTATTTTTAATTTAATTTTTAAAGTATATTTGAGAAAAGTTATTACAATATCTAAAATAATAAAATCAAGAATTAAAAACTATATGATAACATATGAATTTTATTATAATATATGATTTATATTAAAATAAATTAATTACATGATATTATATGAGTTATATGATAATTTATGAGTTAAATGATAAAATATGAGTTTTATGTAATTATGAGTATAATAATTATAAGATTATCGATAAATTAATACACTTTACAAAAAAACGCCTATGTTTCTACATAATTTGAAAAAGTTATATTACTAGTTTGAAATAGATAATGCCTTAATTAAAATCTCAAATTAATTAATTTAATAGAACATTAAAGTATATACATATTTTAGTCAATACTAATTTTAATGAAAAAAGAATTTTGTCACTTTTTCGAAACAGATAACTACATAAAAATTTTTAGAAACAACTCTCTATTTGCTTTTAATTTAGAAAGAGTAGCTTTAGTCTTTTTTTTTACTGGGTTGACACATTTGCGACTCAATTATATGGTAAAGTATTTGTACAAAATTTATTAAATAAAAGTTTGAATATAATAAGTAATTTATCTTTTTAATTTTTTTATAAATGCTTTTTTATAATACATGTTACGAATTACATTTAAAATATATTTTATGTTTGTTAAAAATAAGCATCACGAGTCACGGCATACTTTTAATATAAATTTTTAATTTTTAATACTTTTAATATAAATTTTTAATATAAACTTTTAATATTTTTCCTACTTTTTGTGTTATTGCTGTATTAAGTTTGTATAGCAACATATAAATAAATGAATTATTTTTAGTTATGATTAAATATAATCTAAAATTATTTTTAACAGGTAAAAAAACAATAAAAACACTAGTTATTTTAAAATTTCTTGGTTCAATTAAAATTTCTTCAAACTGTTAGTTTGGTAGCTCATTTATTAGATTTATAACTTTTATAAATTTCAGGTAAATTAAATTTTGGTTTGTCCAACTTTTTGGAAAATATAAAAAGAAAATAATTTAATTTCCTAAAAAATAATTTTAAACCGTAGCACATATCTAATAAGAGCATTTTTTTAGAATAAAAATATGGTATACATTCAATTTCT